CTGCCACTGGCTGCCACAAGTGACTGCCAGACCAGCAGAGTGAGACTAGGAAGAGGAATAAACACACCATGCTCAGCTGGTTCCCAATTTCCCAAAGAAGCTGTTGGCATCTAAGCAGAAAAAGGCTGAAGCCGCTAGAAGCTGCTCAGTCAGAGAACAAAATGCCAGATGCCTCTGCATATGCCTTCTGCTGTTCCAGCCCAGCAGCTCAGACATTGCCCTGCATGCTTTCTGCATCCTCCGGATCCAAAGGAAGCCACTGTTTGTCTGGCTTTCTGGTAACATTTTCTGCACTTTGTGGTAACAAAATGAATTATGAAAGTGATTTAAAAGCTCTTGAAAAGCCAAACACACACTTGCTGCTTGAAGTTTGGCTCTAAGTAAGCTACTGATTTCCAGGGAAGTAACAGCACTTCCAATTTTGGGGTGTAATTACTTTTATAACCGAAAAAACTCTGAATTATGGAGTGCTGGAATTCTAAACCTAGCCCTCATTATTTTGGACTCCTGCAGCTCGGTTGGCCAAAAGGCTGCACACAGTATCACATTCCAGCTTCTTTGTTTGAAATAACATTAATTACAACCCAATGTTAGCATCCATCACAGAGAGAAGGCCAAGTTCCTTTAGATAGTTTCAGGGTGTTTACTTTGCATGCTTACTTTACCCACTGAAAATTACAATGGTTTAAAGTGTTATTAATGACAGAGCCAGTGAGGTACAGCTTTAAGCTTCCCTGTGGCTTATGTTTGTAAAATGAATGTAGGATTTTTACACTGTCAATGAGGTTGTTTTCTTTTTTTTCCTCTGGGAAGTATATATTCAGATTAAATGTTAACGCGTTGTAATTATAGTTTAGGTCATGTTGTTAACCATATTCCTTATTCTCAGTTAATTTTTTATATAATGAATTATATGTTACATAATCAATATCCAGATTCCTCAATATCTCCTCCTACAGACATCACCCCTTTGGAATTTAATTTTACCTAGATTTGTCACAATCAAGGCATGTCACCCTTTCATATGTTTATGGTTATGCTGACAGAAATGTACTCGTTACAGGTCTTCTAGCACATAGCAAAAATAGTTTCTGAGGCACACAGACTAAAAATACTATTAAAAGATAAGTGTGGAATTTTCCTCACCAAAGACACTTCAGCTGATCCAGTAGGTTATTCTAAAAGTCCCCAACCTTTCTGACGACTACGATCATGCTTAATGACTGTGCAAGGACAGGCCATCACCTGGCCTTGCTCTCTAGCATGACTATGGTGGGGCACATAGCTTTGTAGCTCAGGAGGCAGAGAAGAGCCTGAATCAGAGGCACTGTCCTATGTTGCAAAGGAAATTAGTTACTAAACTCTGTTTCTTTAAGAAGCTAATTCTCAACTGCTCATCCAGTTAGCAATACTGGTGTGTGTCTGTGTGCACATCTGTACAAATACGGCCACTCCACTTCCTACCTTTCCCTGATTCCTTATCACCATAATGTGGCCTGGGAAGGGAAGAGCTCGTCTCCCACTCACCTAATTACAGTTGTAACCACCTTACACTGAATAGGATCAGATTTAGTTTGAAAGCAGAGAAGAGCATTTCAGGCAAAACCTTAGTTGACAGTTTGCTAATTGAAGCTTGAGAAATTTCAGGAAATAAAAATATAAGATTGGGAAAAGAGAAATGTTTCTGAGAAGAGTAAATAAACAAATAAATAAATAAATAATGTTGAAACAATGACAAGATTTTGCTTAGGAAATTGCAAAACTGACTTCATCTTGGTTTCCTAAAATTTGAGCTTCCTGACAACTGGAACACCTCTCTCTGAATTCAGGAGTTAGATTATCTTGTAATGGAGCTCTTGGAGGCCTTGAAATACTCATAGCTTGGGCAATAGCCTTGGTTGGGCTGGCCCAGTATTGTGGCTGCTAGCAACCCCCATGGTAAGACTTCAGGGCTACCTAGAAATCTTCAAGTTTGCTGTGCAAGTTTGTTTTATTTGCATTTCATCAGAAGTACACCGAGACAAATACATCCATAGAAAAAGGATCAGCTGGAGTCAAAATCAAAGACTCTTCTCATAGAAACATTTTCTGCTACACCGTTCCTGGTATATCTACCCTGTGTTGATACTGACTGGTTGGAAGAATGCAGCATGGGGAGAATGCAGCCTTATGGAGACATTGCTTCTTGTAGGGATGCTCTCTCTTGAATGACTCAGAGCCTATGTTTTGGCATCATCTAAATATTAAAAATCACAGACTTCTGGCATTGTTAAATGTGATAATCCGGGTGATGTGCCCAAACTATACCACATGCTAATGTGAATGCACTGTATCTATCTATGTGCCCCATTCATCACATCCCATATTTGCTGCTTCTGTTCTTTCTTGCATACATGTGTGGTGTAACTCTACCTGTAACCAAAACAGCTGTTTGCCCACATTCCTGGGGTGTTTGTGGAGCATCAGTTAATTCCCTACTATGAAATATCTTTTTTGATCCAGAGATGTGAGGTAAATACTAAGAAATGTAATATAATAAAATCAAGTATGATTTTGAAAGGAAGCAGAAAGATAATCTCTTAGATTGCAAATGGCACTAAATGAAAGGGTTACTCCCTTTAAGCCAGCACTGAGTTACACACGGGACAGCTATGTGGGAAAAGGTTTTTACACTCCTGTGAATGATCCACACAACTGATAAGAAGAAGGCTCTTGCTCCTGGGACTAATTCTTTTACACCTGGTAATTTGACTTTAACTTAATTACGTTATAACAATTTCCAGAAGTAGTTCAGGAAATTCTATTCCCTTCATGCCTTATACAGTTCAAAGATGCAACAGGGAGGGAAAGGTATCTGAAGATCTACTTAGTAACTGCAGGGGCCAGGCTGCAAGCTGCTTGCTGGAAATACCAAAATTCCTTTCAGGAATTGGGGGAGCAGATAAATTGAAGACGAGGCCAGAGAAGATAAGAATGGATGGAAATAAACTTAAAGGAATGGCAAAGCTCTGCAAGAGGCCTTAGTTCAAAGACTTGTTATCATCAGTCATTTGTTTTACGTTCTAAGAAGCTTCCAGTATGAAACTGAGCTGCCTGCACACTTCACAAACACAGTGAGAGCTTTGGTTTCACTTCTCTCGAAAGCAAATGGAAGTAGATGGTTACACAGCCTCCTGGTATGAAATGCAATGATACTGCTTCCTCCATCTACAGCTTTCCACTGTCCTTGTGGATCACTCTGTAATTCACAAAGAGCTTAAAAGAGAGATGGGACAGACAAAGCATGAGGACAGACTTATTGGCCGAACATGGAAGAAGAGGCTAAGTACCTTGAAGATTTCTATCCATTTGTATTGAATGGGAGACAGAACTATTATATGTAGCACTTTCAGGCAAAAATAAAGACTTTACCTTTAAAATCCAACAAGACTTCTCTGCAGAAGTCTGCAATACTCCTCCAGATAGTTTAATACACCAGTTTTACCTGTTCAGCTTGTCAGGCCATCAGTGAAGTTTTTTGATTCAGCTTACTCTGCCTGTTCAGGGGACAGTGCTTTTTACCATATTTGAGGACTAAACACCATCATTACTTAATTTAACTGCTAATGCAGACTTGTGTGGTGTACATAGCTTCTTTTTACTATATTCAGCTTTGTGACCTGCGATTTCTGTAAAACTGTGTTAGAAACAAAGCCTTAAGATGAATTACAGAGCTAGAGAACGGAATTAAGAAATCTTTCTAACATCAGACTTCCTTATCTCTGCCTGCAAACACTGGTGCAGGCAGCCAAGATTCAGGACTCCAGAACGCTTCTGGAAATAACTGGTTAGCAGAACTGGGAGTGTCCTGGTCATTCACTCATTCCAGTGTTAATATCTGCAATATTATCTGCTAGATGTGGATTCACTCTTCCTGAAATTCTGTCAAAGCAGACAAAGAGAACTTTAATTTCTTAGTTGGTAACTGTGTGTGGCACAGCGCATGTCAGATGTCAGATGATAACATTAGATTTGGACTCTGGGTGTGCCTTTCAGTCAGTAAGTGCATGTAAATTTTTTTTTTTAAAAGATTTGGCATTCTCCTATAACTATACCATGCATAATGTATTGCACTTCAAAGTACTATTTTTACCCTGTAATAGAAGCTGCAGGCTATAGACTTTATCAACACGAACAACATGTTAGTATTACAAAAGGAAAGACTAATTACAGATTTATATTCTGGCAAATATTTATACTCCTTAAACATCTTCATTAGCAACATCATTCCCTCAGTGCACAGTTTTTTGCTTTGTGATGTGCTTTTATTTTTTTTGTTTGTTTGTAAATTAATACATCAGGAAGGAATACTTCTACTCACCTGATTTAGAAGGTGTGTTAATTTCTAATAAAGAGATGCAAACTGATTAATCTTAAAAATCTCAGATATTTGGTCTGTACAAATATGGTAAGCCTCATTAAAAACTGTTCTCTCCTTGAAAGTATACGGGCAAACCTGCAAATCAACCTCACCAGTAAATTTTCAAGCCCTTCAAGTTCTAATTATAATTTTCCGTATTCAAGCTCCTAAAAATTAGAAGGACTAGAATGTGGACATCATATTTTTTAAATACGCCATGTATGCTTGAGCATCTAGATAAGAGAAGTTTGAGAGACTTTTCATTAAGGCTGCAGAACTAACTGCAGCTCTGGAACAGCCTCACTCACTGACTTTCTGCAGAGTAAGGTAGGTTCAGAATCTCCTTTCATTTAATTTAAAACAACTTGGTGTCTGTTTTGCCTGATCTGTCACACATCAATTCCTGCCAAGTTGCAGCAATAAGCTCAGAAACAGTGATACCATGCTGAAACTGAGAATGATCCTGCGCCCCCACTGGCTGGCTCATGGGGAAGAGACAGTTCCAGAGACCAAAAGCAGGAGAGGAGCAGGTCATGCCACCCTAGAGTGGCACAGCTAATTGGCCAGACTGGTTTCTGTAAAAACACAGCTAGGGCTAATTAATATGAGAAAGACAACCTGCTTCATTTCATAGGCATCACCACTAGCATTCACTTAGAGAGATTTCATTATGGCTAGGTTAATGTTTCCCTGTATTTGCTTTTGAGCTATCAGAGTAAATATAAGTTAATTATTATTTAGAAATAAATTAATTAGTAGTTCACGGGCTGACAGGAATTCCTGCAGAAGAAGGTACTTTATTGTTGAGTATTTTGTATAGCTAACAATTCATTTGTTTTATGAAACCACATGAGTCAGATATGGAGTTGTTTGCACAGTAAAAATTAATGCAATACAGACACAACTACTCTGCTATAGGATGTGTTAGCAAAGCAGGGATGTGTAAGACAAAGCTGGGCTGCTTCCCAGCCTTTAAATTTCAAACTTAATTCCTTGTACTTTACTAAGAAGAGTTTAAAACTCAGGCCATGACTTCACACTCATGCATTATCCATTATTTGTTTCAAACTATGTCCTTTCCTGCATTTTTGAAAGTGGAAACAAAAGACATTAATCTCTGATACTCGTATTTATATTTATTGAATGTGCAATGGCTTTGAACTCACAAAGGACCACAACTTCACTTACTGTTATTTTTAAAGGTGATTTTATGAAAGATGTGATTTTTATACTTCAGTCAGTTAGGGGTGTATTTACTGAGGCCTTTGGTGTTTCTCTGTAGTAGCTGTCACTGTGTTCATTAAGCTATTAGCTGACTGCAATAGTAAACACACATCTGTAAATCTATGCATTCACCCCATGGCTGCAGCCTGGCCTCAGTTTACTTGAACTTGTGCAAAAGGTTGGACAGAGCTTACTGTGGTCTGAAAAAAATACTTTTTCCTAATTTAGGTAAAGTTCCTATGAAAGCATCACTCTTGTATTAGTACCAGCCCATCATATAACTATACCTCAGCTTTAAAACTCACCATGCTATACATCCTCTAGAGAACTGGTCACCCCAATGGGTGCACAAGACAGTCCACTGGAGTGTGGGAAGAAAATGTTTTTGCACCATTAATGAACAAAATATTAATAAAATTAGAATAGTTTATTTAATCTTTATATAATTCTTTTTAATTTCTGGCTTTATGTATGCTTTATAATGTACATAATATATTAGCACAGTTATACATGTATATAATTTATAAATAAATATATACTGAGGGAGTGTTCTCCAAAGTTTTTTACTGATACGGGTGTATGATCAAAAGTTTGGAGAACACGGCACTAGAGTCTTAAAATAACTTTAAAAGGTTCATATGGGTTTAAAGTTTCTTTTAAGTTCCTGTTAGCTTATCTCCAGTGCTAATTTGTAATACCATCCCTACAACCACTTAAAAAAGTTTTCACTACTATCATCACCAAGCAGGGGTACTATACATTATACTAACAACTGTTACTCAGTGAAGGATATCTTTGACTTTGCTACAATGCACTGCAAACAGACCTCTGATTACTATCTTCTGTTATGGATATACTTAGTCTGTGGAGTACCCATCAGATGAATATATAGAAGCGTTTCAAAGAAAGCTGTTCTCATGGTACTTCATGCAGTTATTCTTCTGGTCTGATACACAGATAGCATTTCAAACTATGATCTGTATGCAAATTATTCTCTTGGAGCCAGAGAAAATTTCAAAGAAAATAAGCCTGTAGGCCTACTTATCATCACTGTTGTTCTAGCTAGCTGTACATTGAGTGCTCACCTCAAGCATCCTGTGGCATTGTAGAAGATATCAGGGTCAGGTAAAACACTTGACTTTGGGTAATCTCGATCTGGCCAGCCCGAGTAAGGGATGAGAACAGATTCAGTCAGTGTCTCCAGGGCTTCTCTAATCAGCAGGTGCTTCAGTTGGTCATTGGAAGACAAATTCCACAACAAACCTGCAATACCCAAATGAAAATGAGAGTGGCAAAAGGACTCCCCCACAATCTGAAAGACCTAATCTCAAACTCCAAGTTAATGAGTGAAAGCACCTGCCTGGCACTTGATATCCTGAAGAGAAGCAGAAGGAAGTGATAAGGGTTCAGCA